CCCCCCCCCCCCCCTACCGGGGGGCTGACACTTGTACTCAATAAATGTAGTTGAGATGGAATGTGTTAAAGCAGGGGCACTTAGGGACACTATAAACTGGTTAAAGATGGCAAACGCATAAGTTTATCTTGTATTGTGAGATGGATTCCAGCATATTTTTTTTTAATTGTCGGGTTTCCAACTGAAAACTAATTTCCACAAGTCGCAAATTTAACTCAAACAACTTCATTTTTACTGCACTGAAACTTTGGTGAGAAGATTGAGTTTCAAAACTCAATTCAAGATTGAGTTTTTGGGGCCGTTAAACGGCCCTAAAAAATCCCTGAAAAAAAGCTGCCACTGCCCATGCCTCAACCCCAATACAACTGCTGCCAACACAAGCCGGAGATAAAACCCCAGCCACACAATCTATCTTCAACCCTGCAAATAAACATGCCATCCTGGCTACATATATCAGTTTCATTACAGTAAATTCAGGGATGTCGTGAAGGCATCAACATTGGGGGGGTGTGGGGTGTTGTCATGTTTTGACCAATTTTTCCTAGAATTTTGACCAAGTAGTAGAAATTTTTCCTGAAAATGTTGTTGACAGGGGGGGGGGGTTCCGGACTAACATAACCAAGGCTTGCAATTTTTCAGTGCAAACGTGACCAATAAAAAGCTTACAAATTGTTAAAAATTGCAAACAATTTCATAACTTTGACCTTCAATTTTAAGCAAATATTAGTTCTATTTTGACCAACGTTTTTGAATTATTGGGGGGTGTTACCCCCCCCCGGTAGCGATGTCCCTGACAGTAATAGCATGTATTCCAATTGACGTCACAAGTGTAGTTTGTCTGGGCATAAAAGAAATTCCTGTCTACAACTTCTACACCGTAAAAAAAAGTTTAACAAAGCTCCAAACTTAAACTCTTGCAAGGAACTGCATTGGGTTCAATTTGTTTATTAACATTTTTTCCTCCTTAGCAACAGAAATGTTTAAAATCATTGAGAATAAACTACAAAGGATTCATTCAGGTTTTAGTTTATTATTACCACAAGAAAAAAATTCTCAGTCAAAAAATTTTGTTCAAAAATTGAATTGTCCTTCAGTAGCATACATGAACACTTTCAGAATTTGGTTGCTTATACTTTTTACAATGAATTACATTGTCCAGCCTCGATTTGAAGCTGTTTGGTTTCGTGTGCACTATGGTCTATGGAAGTTGGAATTAGCCATTCCGAAGTTGATGCGGAGAGAACTGGGGACGAATGTTAAAAAGTGCCCAAATTAAGAAATGAACCGAATCACTAAAAAGACCACCTCAAAATTAGTAAGTATACAAAGTTTGAAGACATTTACATGCATACCCTTCGAATAATAAGCTTTCGAAAATCACGATATTTCAACTATGAAATGTACTGTCATTTTTGTTTTTGGGCGTCCCAAAAACAATCTTTTAATCAGCAATTTCACAATTTTGCAAAGCTTATTATTCGAAGGGTATTCATGTATAAACGTCTTCAAACTTTCTACACTTACTAATTTTGAGGTGGTCTCTTTAGTTTTAACACTCGTTCCCAGTCCACTCATCAACTTCGGAATTAATTGCTAATTTGGGAAGTGTCTGTTGATAAGCAACTAAGCTTTTAAAATGTTTTATAAATCAAGCAAAATTACTTGGCAAGTTAAAGATAACATCAGAATGATGAGTTGAGCGTCAGAAGTTAACGTTAAATTAATCGACTTACAGCCGATCATCGGATTATCATGCAATAATCTGCCAATCGTGGATTATTTCAAAATGGCTCGATCAATTGGCTCATCTCCAATGGTAATCTTGAATAATAATGATTCCTATGATTCCGAAAATTCTGAATATTACACATTTAAGATTCTACATATATCTTTTCACATATTCTACATCCTCCACACAAACTGAGTGGAGGTTTAAAATTTAAACGTAATTAGTTTTGCGTTGGCGTTTTGAAATTGGCGAAAAATCGATTTCAATGCAATGATTATTTTATGATGTTTAATAAAATTAACTTTAAATGTTCTACACGACTTGACGTTTTCATTTTTTTGTTTCTACAGGGTGTATCAAAAAAAACAGAACAGATTTGAAATTGCTCTCAATTTCGCAAAACAGCTATTTGTAGCTGGTTTTTTATATATATAGCTTCTTTGGGTACTTATAATGTAAAATAATGAAAAAAATTTCTCGAACTCAAATTTTGTGAACCAGGGGGGGGGGGTCTTTTCCAACAAACTAAAAATGGCTCGCGCACAAAATTTAAAAGCTGTAATCATATTTTGGGTTAATAGATTGAAAATTTGTCGGGTTTTTAATTACTGTAGAAAATTTCAGACAATTTGGTTTAGTTTAAGTCCTTTAACTATTCATTTTGTTCTAAAAAGTCAGCCTTTTGCATGCTTAATTAATGCCTTTACCTAATTTGCATATTGCTGACATATGCAAATTAGGCAA